CCTTGTAAATGCAAGCCTTTGGTACTTTTAGGGAGTCAATTCATCTTGTGTTTGTTCTTTTATTGTCTTTTCCAGAGAATCCTGTCTTCTCATGATGTACCTAAAATAGGACAGCCTCAGCTTCAACATTTTTGCCTCCACTTTCTGGCAGTCCAGGGCAGTCCACAAAGATCTCCTCCAGCACCACATTTCAAACAAATAGGTTTTTACCTGTCAACTTTCTTTACTGTCCAGCTTTCACATCCATCCATGGTGCAAACTCACACATGATAATCAGAAATACAAGACTGTGGATGATCTTGGTCTTGCTCTCGTGACACATCCTTACACTTGATGATCTTTTCTAGTTCTTAATTGCTGACTTTCCAAGTCTCAGTTTTCTTCTGATTTCTTGGCTACAGTCTTCATTTGGATTGATGATTAAACCAAGGTATACAAAATCTCTAACTATTTCAGTGTTTTCATTGTCAGTGCTAAGGTGGTGTAGTTCTGTAGTCATGATTTTTGTGTTCTTAATGTTCAACTGCAGTCCTGCTTTGGCACTTTCTTCTTCCACTTTCATTAAAAGTCATTTCAAGTCATTGCTGCTTCCTGCCAGTATGATGGTGTCATCTGCATATATTGAATTATTGATATTTCTACCACCAGTTTTCCCTCCACCTTAATCTAGTCTGGCTTTCCATATTATGTGTTCTGCATAAAGAATGAACAGATATGGGGATAAAATACACACTTGTCTTGACACCCTTGCCTATAGGAAACCGTTCTGTCTCTCCATATTCTGTCCTAACAGTAGCTTCTTGTCTACAATATAAGATATGCATCAAGACAATCAAGTCCTGAGGCACACCCATTTCTTTCAGAACAACCTATGTTTTCTCGCGATCTACGCAGCCAAAAGCTTTATTGTACCCTATAAAACACAGACAGATTTTCTTCTGAAATTTTTGGTGCTCTCCAGTAGCCAGCAGATATTTGCAATATGATCTTACGTGCCTCTTCCATACTGCAATCCTGCTTGAAAAGAAATCAAAATGTTATGCCCATTTTGAGTTACTGGTGCAAATCAACGGGAGGTGTGAAGATTCAGATTCCTGAATTTTAATTCAGATTCAGATTCAAACTGGATTTGATCTGGTGTGAACCCATTCACACAATTCAGATCAGAATCGAAATGAGATCAGAAACCAAATCTCTGAAGCTAGTCCTCAGCTGAAACAGAGAAGTGTTGCACAGCCCTGTTACAAATCAGTAATAATTCTTAATCCTCTGTTTCTCTTTCCTATGATATGAAGTAACTTGTAATGGTATCTGCTTTTCATTACCGGCTTTCTTCCCCTCCACATCCCTGGAGGAGAAGAGAAGAACCATTTTCTTCCATCATAATGTTGGCTATCAGTAAATGACAGCAAGCGTGGTTAGTCATTTGGAGTAGTAGTCCATTATTCTGCCTTCCAGGGTTTGTTTGTTTGTTTTTTATTATTATTATTATTATTATCATCATCATCATCATCATCAGCAGCAGCAGCAGCAGCAGCAGCAGCAGCAGCAGCAGCAGCAGCAGCAGCAGCATCTCCTTTTTTTCTGTTGCTGGGCGCGAGCACTACAACTGCTTTCCTGCAACTAATGCAAGCAATAGGCTCTGCCTTCTGGCTCACATACTGTGGGGTGAAGACCATCTTGGCCTTGCCAGCCACAGCATCCTAGGCATTGCAGCTGACTGGGATGTTGCTGTTGGAAAACCTGGCCCAGGCCTCAAATGGGAGCAATAAGGCCAAGTGCTGGCCTCAGGTGGAGAATGTGGAGTGGCTGCACATGGCCTTGTTACATGAGCAGTTGATGGTTTTATAGTAGGGTTGAGCAACGTCCAGACTATGAGTCACATGCTGACCCCTAGGGGCCCAAATGTACCCTTCAGCTGATCCTGAGGATCTCAATACCCCTATACTATCAAAAAGATGTTTGTGCTGAAAAGTGCCCTTTTGCCCACAGGAGAGTGGGTTGAAGAAAAATTGCCATGTTTTTAAGGGGCCCCAGAGCCCTTAGGATCTCTGCATCTCTCTCTCTCTCTCTCACACACACACACACACACAATTTCTAAACATTTCAAAAACTTGTTTTGACCACCAGAATGTGAAGGGGTCTTCTGAATTTTTTTAAAAGCTATTTTTTTGTAAGCAAAATGGGGGAGGGTGGGGTTGGTGGGAGTTACACACACACACACACACACACAAAATTTCTAAATATTTCGAAAACATGTTTTGACCACCAGGATGTGAAGAGGTCTTTTGAATTTTTAAAAAAGCTAATTTTTTGTAAGCAAAATGAGGGAGGGTGGGGTTGGTGGGAGTGGTCCTCTGAGGTCCAAGGATGATTGTCTGACCTCCAGACTTCTGGAGAGTGTTCATTCTTGTGTATAGACAAGAATGAGCTGCTGGTGCCTTTGGACAATGCTTGTAAGACTGATCCAATGAAGTGGGCTGCACTTCACAATACTTTATGCCAAAGTAAAACATGCTGGCTTCTCAGGTGCTACAAGACTGTCATTGTAATACTGATGAATATGATAGCAGTATCTAACCAGCCCCTCCACTTTTAAAACATCTTTTGTCACTTAAATGAGATTATCAACAGAGTTCATTTGCAGTAAGTGGGAAGTTGGAAATCTCACCCTGCCTCCCACCAAAATGCTGGACCACTTCGAGTTACAAAATGCAGAAACATGCGACCTAGAGCTGACTGATACACTGTAAAATGTAAACCATGTTTTTACTTCTACATTTTAGTGCCACGGATCAAAGCCCCAGCTGCCTTGCCCTAGGTACAGCTCTGATGTTTAGGATGGGACTCTTAAGGGGAAAAGAAAGCTTCTTTCTTTATTCATATCAAAACACTGCACACTTTAAAATGATGAGTGTATATGAAAGTGATATAAAATTCCAACAAATTAAATTGTCAAAATGATTAGATTGTTTTGGATCAGCCCTGAGCTACTCCAGCAGTGTTATCTGGGCTATTTGGGCCATAAATATTCAGATGCTATTATCACAGACTGACTGAGCCCTGAAGCAGAGTGAGGCAGTTAACTTCAGGCAGCAGATCTTCATTGTCAAGATATGCATCTGAAGAAATCCACAAATAATAATAACTGTGTGCTGTCCAGTCAATTCTGACTTACAACTCTTTCCAGGGCTTCCTAGATAGAGGGTATCAGAAGGGGCATACCACTTCCCTCCTTCTTCTGGGGGCATCTGAGGACTGTGCAGCTTGCCCAGGGCGACACAGGCCGGCTCTTCTACGATGCACAGCACAGAATTCAAATCCCAGCCTCTGGCTCTGCACCAGAAACCTAAACCACTCAGCTATCCAGTCACAAAAGCTAAAACGTATTAGTCTTTCAAGAAGACAAGACTCTTTCTAGTTTCTGCTGCAAAAAGCTCACAAGTTAGCCCAATCACCTCCTAGAAATGAAAAGGCAGCAAATTGTTAACTATTAATTGGTTATTATTGTTTTGTTTTGTTTTGACTGCCAGAGAGGAGAGGTGGCGCTTGTCCGATTTTTCTGCCCCATGCCCCGACATATTTTAATCTGTCTTTAGGTAAGTGGGTGGGGGACGCGATTTGCCTATTCCCTTCAGGCATCGAAATGTCTGGCGTCGGCCGCCCGCCGAAGGCAATGTCCTGCTTGGTCTTTCCAGCACAGGCCTCTCCCTGTGCGGGAAGGAATTCTCGCGGCCGTCGCAAGAAGCCCGCGAAGAAGAAGCCCTTGGGCTGGCAGCCCTTGGCACGAAAGGCATCGCGGATCCCGGAGAGCAAAAAATGTCCTCGCAAGAGTACAGTACACGTTGCTCGCTCGCCGGATCAAACCCCTAAATACAAGCCCCGTCGAAGTCAGGAGCCTTACTCGCGAGCACAGGAGGGGCGCACGGCTGCAGTCCCACGCAATTCCAAAGTTAGTACGTGGAGCTACAGTGCGACTGACGCCTCAACGCTTAAATCCATGAATCGGACCTGACGGCAGCGAGAGAGACACCAAGCAGAGTAAAAACACGAAAGGCTGTGGCATCTTGGGAAGCGAGCCGCTTTGACCTGAGGGCTGACTGGAAGCCGGCCACGTTCTTACGCGGCAGAATTAAAATGCGGGTTAACCACCCCCTGCCATTCCATCTGGGGGGGGGGGCTGCGTTGGTGGTCTACATCTCCGGAAAAGAGCCCTCAAAAGCGCGCCCGAAGCCTTGAGTCCTGGCGGACTCTGCTTTCTGGGGGTGGGTGTGGGGGGTAGGGAGCCCCGTACTCCACATGCGCTCAGAGAAACCACCGCCTTTCCCTGAAAGCGCGAGTTTTTCCAGAAGCTGAAGCGCCAGCCTCTTTCTCTCTCCCCGCCCCGCGCGCGCTCTGCATATGCAGACCTCCGCGCCCTGAAGACTTTCACCCAGGCTGACAGAGCAGGCTCTCGCTGAGCCCAGGCGCTGGCGGGAAGGTAGCTGGTTGAGGAGAGCGCACAGGGCTGGGAGAGCGAGCGAGCGAGAGCCCGGAGGGAGAGGCGCCCGCCTTCTCCTCCAAGGTTGGACGGAGGTAGCGGCTCTCCTCTCTCTCCCTCCCGCGAAGGCAGCTGCTGCTGCACTCCCACCTCAAGAGGCTGCCTGG